GACTTTAATTCCTTCCCTTGTTTACTGCTAGTTACCTTTGTTTACACCTTCATTCTCCCTCCGTGCTACTGCCTACATTGTATTACCTCAACAACACCTACACAACTCTTGCCTAAAAAGGTAAACAATTGTTAGCTCCTTGGCCGCGGTGGCGAGTTTTATTTGTCGGTTACCTACGACTCTCAGGAATGTTGATCGTGTACTGCTTTTCTAAACCAACCCTTCCTTTCTCATTTGCATACAGCATCTCCCAGTGTTGCCCAGCGAGGGTGTCTAGCCTGCTCACCCCGCGAAAATATCATGTGAAATTGAAATTGAAATTGAAATAAGTTTATTGATGTAAAATAGACACAAAGGGATGAGGTAGCTCAAGCTATTCTCACCCCGTTCATGTGTGTATGACGCAAAGCCAGTTCGGTTATTACAAGGAAGGGATAGAACAAAGAGCTGGGATGGAAGGGCAGAGGGAATTGGAACGGTGCGCAACCACTTTGACCATCTGGGATTGAACGCCGTCTTGTAAGAAGCCAGGCCGTCACTCTACTGACCACTGCAAGTGGATGGGCAGATGCACGTTTGTCATTTACTTATAAACTAGCAAAGGTACTTGTCCAAATGTTAATGTATGTTTCGTACTTATAAATGGGCTATAATATTTTTACTCGTTTTTAAAGTTATCGAACACAATTATAGTGAAGAAATTTATCGAAGCACTTGAAACGTATAAAAGTCACTATCATTAAATCTTTATTTCCAATTCTCTTTATGGTATCTAATCGAAAATTAATTTATTGAGCTTAAGTGACAAAATTGTAGCTAATGTCTATCGTCTCTAGACAATTCCTGTTATCGAGTTCTTAGTATATACATGTAAGACTAGATTCAACCTTACACTGTATGGCATTAATATGACGTGACAACTGTTCCATTCGAAAGCTCTATAGCATTTGCACCATCATTTCATTTAATATTTATTAATGCCGTAAATTACTAAACATACATGTCAATTCATCAGTAATTATTTTCCCATGTAGCTGATGTGTGCAAAAAAATTTGCATTTACATGGATAGCTATAAATTCCAGCTCAGCACGTAAAATTATGCATACTATATATTGATATTTCTGGAGCCTAGAGTAATCATATACAACCTACCCAATAAAACACCGCCTACACAGCCAAACACGACAAAATTTACCAAACTTCAAGTCCCATTCAATCGTGTACAAACAGCAAACACAAGACCCGCCCAACCGGTTACACGTACAACTACTACACACACATAATCAACCAAAAGCAAACACCACACACATGCCAGGTGTGCCATAAAGTACGTGTGACGGTCATAAAAGTGGCCTCTCTCTCCTCGCCCTAGCCCGAGTCTTATGTTTTTCCGCAGGTGATAATTTACCGCCTGGCGGCAGCCTTGTCTTAAGATATCAAGTATCCTTCGTGTCGCATCTCGCATTCACTTCTGTGACCTCGCTCGCCACTGAACTGTTCCCCTCAAATAACATAAGATAACTTTGTTTACATGCGTCACAGTACAAAGCATGTCGTGATAACCCCCTTTGTTAGCATGTTCATAAAATCTGAAAATATGAGCATTTATCAATCAATTGCCACAATGGATGGGAAGGTTGAGGGGTATGTCCTCGCCAAACACTATTGGGCTTTGGCACATTGTCTATCTTAAGATCCGTGCTAATCCAGCATTTTTGTATTTAAAATCTTAAAACTCAAGGCAAGAGTACCTCTTGCACACATTCTACTATCGGTATGTTTAACCTGATGTTTCTCTTAACCGGTTTTTACCATTAAGACCTTTTGTGCTCTCTAATTCTTTTTTGCGCTACCGCTCACAGGATGGGTATGAGGTGTACAATAAACTAGCCGCCCCCGGCGGCAACAATCTGCTCACTAGCTTTTCCCGTGGCAATAGTATGGGTGTAAAATGCCAGCCTTCAGCAAAATTCACATACCAGCGAGTCATGATGTAGAACGGAAAACATGGTCACCATTACCTAATTATAAACATTTGGTTGAATTGAAACACATTGATATAATGGCCAACAACAGCTGTAAATAATATTGCCTGTAAAAAAGAATTCCTACAAGAGTAATAAGCACTTTCCAATTATATGAACAGGAAAGTCAGATTTGGTCATGGCGTATGTAAGAGCGCGCAAGCAAGAGTTTTAAGGATACCCACGATGAGTGACCAAGACGTGCTGGATCTTACTGAGAGTCCGAGATGCGAGTTTGACCATGAACCAGGAGAGTTTAATGGGCTAGATCGCGCATGAGGCGAGTGTGGGGAGAGTTGTAACTCACCACAAGGAACAAATCAAGGTCTCTGGTCATACATTGGGATTACATTACCAAAATACATTCTCACATAACCAGGAAAGTATACATGTTAATAACAGTATATACTTTACACAATACAAAAACCAATACAAAGCTTTGAACAGTAGTACGATTACATCAATACATTTAAAACATTCCTGCTTATACAAAATTTCACACGTTTATTTCATAAATACCCCATATTGCTGCAATTTTATATTTTATTTTAATTATAATTATTGATAATTATTTATAATAATATCCTCTAAACAGGAGAATGGGTTAAAATATTTGAGGCACTTTTCCCCCATTGAGAAGCGTTGGTGTTAATTCACCCCATCCTCATAAATGACACTACCTATAGTACCCAGTGGTCCAGAGAACAAATGTCGTGATGGACTATAGACACTAGATCATTTCAGCAGGATGGGTTCTGTTCTGGCATATTAACGGCGCGAGCGCTATTAAGGTCGCCACAAGCCGACTTACCTATTACAGAAATATACTTTGTCTTTGAGCAAATATCATAACTAAAGTAGTGTCAGTACAAGCACACGTACACTTACATACTGTACTTACTTATCAAGTGACTTTACAAGTTACATTACGGGCTATTCATGCCCGTGCCACCTCTTGGGTGGCTTAATCTTTATCAATCAATCTACAAGTTACAGACCCGCTCCCGTGTCAGGCAAATCCACAACTCACCATAGCCCGTACTACTTGGAACTTTTTGTTCCAAGTAGCGAATCTTAAACAACAACAACAAGAGACTTTACGGGCTATTCATGCCCATGCCACCTCTTGGATGGCTTAATCTAAATCAATCACTCAGTGACTACTTTTACGTTGCAGGCTAACCATAGCCCGTGCTTCTTGCCCCGCTCCTGTGCCAGGTAAGTTACGGACTCGCCATACCCCGTGCTACTTGGAACTTATTCAGAGTAGCTGAATCTATAACACCTACTTTTAAGTGAAGTCTCCCCCTCTGTGCCGCGCCTACTAGCCTCTTGCGTCATGTATTTTAATTATTCTGACGTTCGAATTCTTTGTCGAGTCAGACAGACCTTTAAAGTTGTAGATGGAGGTGGCTTCCACAACTTTCAGTTCCTTCACCACCTTGACCACCCGTGCTGGCCACCAGAACTTTTCCTTCAGACTCATTTGTCTATCTCGCTACCACTTGCGTCCTCGAGCCCTATTTTTCTCTCACTTTTAACGAGGTTGTCTTTGTCTACTTTGTCAATTTCCCCAGTATATTGTATGTTGTGATCATGCCCCCCTCGGTTTCTTCTTTTTAGGGTTGTCCCTGCAAACAAACTGTCCCTATTTTTCCGCTTGTTACAACTTGTAATAAGGTTGTTACATCTTGGTATAACGTTTTGATCACGTATTAGAACATTGTCACAACTTGTTAGGTGTTAAAACTTGTTCAAACGTTGTGGCAACGTCGTAGTTTCGTTGTGCGTTTGGCGGGGTGAGATCTAGTTCCCTTAACCCATACATGAAGGGGGGTAGAAATAGCCTACGCTACTCTATCCCTTTGAGATGTATTTATTGCTTATCTCAATAAACATACTTGAACCCATACATGATATCCCTCCCGCTCCGGGGCCTTGTTAGGAGCTTCCACTAGGAATAGTTTTTTTCCATGTATGCCAATGTCAAGTCATCAATCCTGCCGCATAGGCAGCTTGCTGTTTTGCCTTTAGCGTTGATTGATTGATTTATTGAAGATTAGGCCACCCAAAAGGTGGCACGGGCATGAATAGCCCCTAAGTGGAGGTCCTTTTGAGCCATTACCAGTATCAAGAGCTGATACTGGAGATCTGTGGAGGTGCGACTGCACCCTGCGGGATGAGAGATGTCTCCCGTACTTCAGCGTTAGTTCTTTTTAATGATATACTGTGCACCTCTCCCTTTGTGTGCCGTGTCCCATATAAGAAAAAAAAATACAAAAGAATTTTCTATTTTGAGTATGTTATTTTCGTGTTATTATTGTGTGTTATTATTATCATCTTAACTCTTGTGGGTTGTGATGAGATCTGCCATTTATGTGTATTTTAGTTTGTGTTTGATAGGGTATTAGGTATGCTTAGAGGTGCCTTCTCGCTATGCCCTGTGGCTGGGGGGATTGGTGCCCTGAAGCTACATCAACACCCTATACCCCCCCCCCCCACCTGTGGCAAGGGGAGTTAGGGGACAACAATTTCATCATAACTTAGTGCGCTTATCTCCGGCACTAATCTTGCTGCACATTTTGTACTTTTTTTCCTTCAATTCGTGCTTTATGCTTCACAAGGTGTGCTGTATAACCCATTATTATCACCTTTAAACTTATGCCTACACTGAACACTGCATGTACTTACACGCTCACAGTTATACAACATAAATCATTTAAATCTAATAATAAATGTTATAACAATAATGGTGGCCGGCCGCCTCCCGTTTTCTATTGGCGAGCAACACGCCGCCGCCCTCTAACTGCACCTCTTGTCTAAATAGTGACCGGCCGGTGAGATATGGCCCCAGAGCCACGGACTTATTACCACCCGCGACGACGGGGAGCTTGGCCTGACCTAGCAAGACAAGAGCACGAGAAAACGACGCGACACAGCGACAAGAAAGAACGCGGGGAGGGTGGTGGGTTACCTGGCCTGGGCGAGGGAGGATGATGGCAGGAGCAGCAGGAGACACACGTCTTACCGGCAGCGAGTGTGGGAGCCGACTGACGGCTCGTGTTATTATGAGACTCTTGTCTGGCCCGTGCGTGCGTGCGTGCGTGTGCTCCCCCCTCCCTCCTCCTCTCTCACCCCCTCTCATTCTCTATTGTTTAAAATCCTCTACAGCATTTGTAATGCATTATTTATATTTTCATTAAATATTTAGTGTAGTAATATGTGTGTATATGTGTGTGTTTTCGTACCTGCGTACGGGATTAGTTATTTCAGTGACTTTACACCGGGGAGGGATTCTGGGGGGTTCATTGTGAGTAGTTCTGGAAGTTTCATAACGAACCCCACACCCCCCTCTTGAGTAGATGTCCCCCTCCCCCTTCTCCCCCAGGGGTGGGGGGTGCGAGGGCAGTGTGTCCTAATTTGTGTACGACATCGTCTGTTCGTAGTGTGGGAAGGCGGTAGTGACGTCACACCCGGCCCGGCCTCTATAGACATGACATCACACGCGGAATGGCATTAAAAGACGGTAGTGACGTCACCGCCAGCGCCTCTACAGTACCCTGACATCACAGACGGGTGACTTGAGACGGTAGTGACGTCACCGCCAGCTGCTCTAGCGTACCCTGACATCACAGACGGGGTGACGTCACCGCCGGCGCCTCTATAACCTCACTGACAGGTGACATTCCAGACGGTAACATCATCACCAGCACCTCTACACCTCACAGACGGCTGACATCACAGACAGCAGTGACTCAGCTGTCGGATGCTGATGACGTCATTTGGGGGCTGAACCAGACAACTGTAATATATCAGTGTCGGGTGGAAGTAGACTAGGCGTCGGCCGTTTATAATAACAGTGTTGGGAAGGGGAGAGAGGTTCCATTACGGGCTCACCATAGCCCGTGCTACATGGACACTTCGTTCTGAGTAGCTAAATCTGAAACAACAACAAGGGGAGAGAGGGACGATAGGTAACTATACAACAATGTAGTTTACAATAAATTAGTGCGTATGAGATAGGGGGGGGGGAGAGGAGTGATTGTACAAGAGACAGATTCACGAAGCAGTTACGCAAGCACTTACGAACCTGTTCATCTTTTCTCAAACTTTGGCGGCTTTGTTTATAATTATTAAACAGTTAATGAGCTCCGAAGCACCAGGAGGATGTTTATAACAATAATAACAGTTGATTGGGAAGTTTTCATGCTTGTAATCTGTTTAATAAATGTAACCAAAGCCGTCAAAGATTGAGGATAGGTGTACACGTTCGTAAGTACTTGCGTAACTGCTTCGTGAATCTGGCCCCAGGGAGATTGTAACACAGAAACCCAGTGTTCTAACACCGGCGTAGGAATATTAGGGCGGGAATGATATTGTAGAAGTTGCAAAGCTTGCAACTAGGAGGGGGGCAATAAATGTTGACATTTACATACCAAAGTCTACTGGCACAGATTAAGCAAATAATGTGAGGTAGATCAATGCAGAAGATGTGCAGCGAGCGCAACACATCAGCTGCAACATTGGGAGCCGCGGGTTGGTACAAGAATTCAACCAACTATGAATCACTTATTTTGGTGAAAGAGAGCAGTAGAAAAAAAAACACTTACGTTGCATCAGCCCAACCACTTGGGCTGGACAGTAGATTGACGGTCTCGCATCATGCAGGTCAGCGTTCAATCCACCGACCGTCCAAGTGGTTGGGCACCATTCCTTACCCCCCGTCCCATCTCAATTCTTTATCCTGATTCTCTTCCCAGTGCTATATAGTCGTAATTTCGTGGCGTTTCCCCTCCTGATACTTCCCTTTCCTTCCCTTATATCGCATCAGGCTTGGATACCCATGTGCATGGGAAATAGGCCTACAGGCTCCAGAAGATGAGAGGAAATATCAGCACTGGAAAAATGCCCGACACACCACTGAAACATTATCTAACACAGTGCACAGTTACAAACCAAATAAGAGATCAACTAAGATGCGACAGAGCAGAAGTGGTTAAACACATTGAGAATATTACTGAATATAATAGAATGAATTTGATAGAATGATTATGATAGAACTATGATAGAAGGAATGAATGAATTAAATATAATAATAATGAATAATAATAGAAAATGAGAATAATATTACTGAAGCGAACATACGTCATAAATACTCACATGCCGTCAGGACAGAAACGAGGAGGAACACTGAGTAGGAAAGGAGTAAAGACTTGCCTGAAACGTTACGCGTGCTAGTGGCTCTACAACAATGTGATAACTCTTGTATATGTATAAATAAATAAAATAAATAAATAAATATATAAATCTTAGTGAGTCAGCCAGAGGCTCAGGGACCACGCAGTAATATCCCGAAAAAAAATGTAAGACAGGAGCCCAGAGTGCAGGTGTGGGAGAGTGCTGGGGAGAGTGTGTGAGAGAGTGCAGAGGAGAGTGTGTGTGTGAGGGTGTGGATGAGAGTGTAGAGTGTGTGTGAGGGTGTGGGGGAGAGTGTAGAGTGTGTGTGAGGGTGTGGGGGAGAGTGTAAAGTGTGTGTGAGGGTGTGGGGGAGAGTGTAGAGTGTGTGTGAGGGTGTGGGGGAGAGTGTAGAGTGTGTGTGAGGGTGTGGGGGAGAGTGTAGAGTGTGTGTGAGGGTGTGGGGGAGAGTGTAGAGTGTGTGTGAGGGTGTGGGGGAGAGTGTGCAGGGGAGAGTGTGTGGGTAGGGAGGGGGGGCTAGGGATATGGAGTAGCGCGTCAATGAGAGGGCGGGCAGCCTACTTTCATTAAGGAGGGTGGTGGTGCGTGGGGGGGAGGAGCGTCACTCAGCGGGACCAACCATGTCAACACAACAAAAACAACACATAATCCACCACCATAATTGGCCAGCACCTGCCCACCATGACCAGTGGTGAGTAAGTTACCATTACCACGTATATCGTGTGCGTGTGTTCACCTATATATATATATATTTACCTTATCATGAAACTTTCTCATACATTACATTTTGTAACCAGCTTATCTTTACTGTAACTTGCTTAACTACATGAATTTTGGGGTTCAGTCCCCGAACCCATTATTTTCTCTGTAACCTTTTCCACTGCCGCCCCCAGGATGGGTATGGGGTGCGTAATAAATGAATTAAATTAAATTGTATTCACCTATTTATTTGTGCCTCCAGGATCGAGCACCTGGACCCTGTCTTTCCAACCGTCGGTGTTCTAATGTGCTGCCATCTCCCGACCTATTTTCTCTATCCTACCTGTTAAATTACACACACACACACACACACACACACACACACACACACACACACACACACACACACACACACACACACACACACACACACACACACACACACACACACACCACCTAGGGGCCTCGTAGCCTGGTGGATAGCGCGCAGGACTTGTAATTCTGTGGAGCGGGTTCGATTCCCGCACGAGGCAGAAACAAATGGGCAAAGTACACAATGAAGGGGAACAGCCTACCTGTAACGACGCGTGAAAGAGACCTGGGGTGGACGTAACACCTAATCTACAGGCACACACAGCACACACACTGGCACATCACAGAAACCTAAGTAAGGACAGGGCGCTTTACACACGTAAGGCCAGTCTTAGAGTACATCACATCTGAAGAGCACTGGAAAAGGTTCAGACACGAGACAGCTACACTGAGGGAACTGTGCCACGACACACACACACACACACACACCACGAGAGGACATTTCTTTCACCCTAAGTGCCCCTGTTACCTAGCAGTAAATAGGTACCTGGGAGTTAGGGGTATGAACATTAGCAGTGGTTTATATAACTTAGATCCATTTTTGATAGATCAATTATAGAGCGATTTGAGTAGGATCATTGATACACATTTGTCTCACTTATTCACTGTAAATATTTACTATCTTATGCTATTATTATCCATGTGTGGGCCTATTGATAGGAGCTGCATCGTATGGGCCAATAGGCCTTCTGCAGTTCTTGTGCGGCTCATATTTGTGTCCACCTAATTCCCGTCCATTTGTCATTGTACCTCACCTCACTCCACCACTCTCTCCTGCCTATATATGTCCAATACTTGACCTGTAAATTCACTCCTTCTGAAGATGTATTAATATACGAAAGTACTTAGGGAAATTCCTGTTTCAATTTTCCTCCGTGGTCTGACACTGTCATATATATATATATATATATATATATATATATATATATATATATATATATATATATATATATATATATATATATATATATATATATATATATATATATATATATATATATATATATATATATCATTCTTTGGGGCACACGTGAGGAACAGAAATGCGAACAAGCCTGAATGGTCCCCAGGACTATATGCAACTGAAAACTCACACCTCAGAAGTAACTCGAACCCATACTCCCATGAGCAACGCATGATGAAAATGGTGCCATGATGGTGGGAAGGTTTTATAATTGAGGGAGTGCCATAATGTATGAGGCATCGCTTCCTACAGGGTTGGTGTTCGATCCCCATTGGTGAGAGTGGTTGGGGGACACTCCCTTCACCTTGTCCTCATATCCCAGCTCTTTGTCCCCCATGTCCCTTCCAAGCATCATACAATCACACTTTCTCGCGATTATCTTACATATCTCCACTTAATTTTACATTTACTTGTATTCTACTGACGGGAACATCTAGTCTTCTGTACTTAATGAGATTCCCCTTCTCCGAGGGCGTAGCTGACCGCACTATCACTCGCCCAGTCACTGGCCAGACTGTGGTGGGTTAACCTGACTGAGTGGTGTGTATAGCAACCACAGCGACACGCCCACAACAGCCTTCAAGGAGGAGAACACGAGGTAGAGAGTTTTGTACAATGTTTTCTCTTCTTTTTTTTTTAGGTTTTATATTTTATATATATATAAGAATGTAAGTCTTAGATATTGATGTAATAAAGTTTTTAAGTTACTGTATGTTTTACCATGAAGGTATTAAGACTCTAAACAATGTATCGATGAGGCCGGGACGGCTCAACAACCATGGAATACCAGAGACCGTATGTAAGGTCTCGCCCGGGCTCTTGTGTAGCCGGCCTCGCCCGGCCTCTTGTGTAGCCGGT